TGGCACAATACCACCTAAGCCACACCTCCACTTCCAACTTTTTGTTGGTGAACTGGCTGGTTAATAAGGGTCTCATGGACTTCCCTGACTGGGCTGGCCCCCAACTGTGATCCTCAGATCGCAGCCTCCTGAGTAGCTAGGATTACAGGCATGAGGCACCAGTGCCAGGCTGCTTGTGTATTCTTGCAGAGACTGGTCATGACCTCACTAGGTACGTCTTGGGGGAGGGGGCGCCAGGAGGCCCAGTGAGAGGAACGCACGCCTTGCAGTTTACAAGCGTGTCTCTGGACAGGGGGTTCTACAGCCCCAAAGCCCAGTGTCATCCTTACAGGAACGCCTGTCAAACATGGCATTTTGCTAATTAGATCAGTGCACATGTAAGAATGATGTGGCATATGGCTAAGGCTTGCAGGGCGGCTTCCGTTGTCCCTGAACATGTTGCTTTAACTGTTTCCATGGGTACAGCGTAGGTCATCTGGTGATTGTATATCTTTCTTGCTAAGCTGACCTTGGTCTGAGGCTATTTGCATTTCTGGTTTACATTTGTTATTGTTTTGTTATTGAATTGCTGGCACTGAGCCTTAAACGGAGTGCTTTGCATTTGCTCAATGTGCTTGCTCAGGTGGTGTTCTACCACCAGAGCCATGTCTCCAACCAGGGTTTTTGCTGGTTATTTTTGAGATGGAGTCTTGTCAACTTTTCTACCCCTCCTGATCTCAGCCACTTGAGTAGCTAGGATTTACAGGCGGAAGCCACTGACACCCAGCTACTTTTTATTTTCAAAAGGATTGTAAGAAAACATCACTGGCAGCCAGGCACTGGTGGCTCACGCCTGTAATCCTAGCTACTCAGGAAGCTGAGATCTGAGGATCTCGGTTCAAAGCCAGCCCAGGCAGGAAACTCCATGAAACTCTTGTCTCCAATAAACCACTCAGAAAACCAAAAGTGGCACTGTGACTCAAGTGGTAGAGCACTTGCCTTGAGCTGAAGAGCTGAGGGACAGCGCCCAGGCCCTGGGTTCAAGCCCCATGACTGACCAAAAAAAAAAAGCATCACTGGAGAGCCTCCTGGCCTTGGTACTGGTAGGGTGGAAGCCAGTTTGAACTGGTGCACTATTCATATGCTAAGATGGACAGTGGACATCTCCCCTTGACAATAGGGCTGAAAAGACTTTTCTCCAAATTCTCATGTTTTTGCCAGTCATGGTGCTTGAACTCAGGGCCTGGGCATTGTCCCTGAGCTTCTTTTGCTCTACCACTCTACCACTTGAGCCACAGCACTACTTCTGGCTCTGTGTATGTGGTACTTAGGAATGGAACCCAGGGCTTCATGCATGCTAGACAAGCACTCTATCACTAAGCCATATTGCCAGCCCACCTCCCCTTTTCTTAAGACATGATCTTGCTGTGTAGTTAAGGCTGGCTTCGAATTTGTGGTCCACCTGAGTGCTAGGATTATAGATGTGTGCTATCACACCCAGCCTTGACCACACTTTTGGGGTTTTATTTTGGGGGGGGAGGGCAGTCCATAGATTTGAACTCAGAGCCTCATGAATTCTAGGCAGGTGCTCTACTTGAGCTATTCCCCAGCCCTTCCCCACTTTGGTTATTTTTCAGGAAGGGTCTCTTGTTTCTGCTCAGGGCCAGCCTCAAACTGGGATCCTTCCACCTATGGGTGGCTTCCTGCATAAGGGAGACTGTAGGAACCCTCCACGATGCCCAGCTTTTTCTGTTGAGCTGGGAACAGGATATCACTAACACTTTGCTCAGGCTGACCTGGAATTGTGGTCTTCTTGATGTCTGCTTTCCAAGCAGCAGGAATTACAAGTTTGAGCCATTGTGGTTGGCTTATTTTTATTTATTTATTGTTTTGGTCGGCCATGGGGCTTGAACTCTGGGCCTGGGCGCTGTCCCTCAGCATTTTTGCTCAAGGCTAGCGCTCTACCACTTGAACTACAGCACCACTTCCTGTTTTCTGAGTGGTTTCTTGGAGATAAGAGTCTCATGGACTTTCCTGCCCGGGCTGGCTTTGAACTGTGATCCTCAGATCTCAGCCTCCTGAGTAGCTAGGATTACAGGCGTGAGCCACCGGTGCCTGGCCTTGGCTTATTTTTATGGAAAGAACTTTTCCTTGGTTTGAGATCTAAACCCCTGTCTCTATTTAGTTCAGCAAATATTTACAGATAAATATACTATGGGTCTTTGAGTGAGTGAGTGAGCTCATTAACACTCAGCTCCCTCAGGACAAGGCTGGGCCAGGAAGAATTCAGTTCCTTGATGGAGTCCTTCAGTGGCACAAATGAGGAGACCCAGACGTTTTTATCTGGGGAGGTAGATGGATTTGAAAAAGAGCCAGAAAACAGTCTCTCCCTCCCAATGAGCTGACGGTGAGCTGACAGAGCCCAGCACACCTGCTAAGGGGGTTTCCTGCAGGTCCAGGCTGGGGGAAGGCAGGGGCCAGGTCTCTAGGTCTGTCTGGGGGAGAGTCACATGAGGCAGGCTGGCTGTGTTTTGAAGAGTGTCTTCTCACGATTGGGAAGTGGCAGAGGTGCCCGCCACCAACCCGGCAGATGGAGGGAGGTCAGACAGATTTGGATTTCCTGAGTCATGGAAGGCCCACTGGGAGGAAGGACAGGAAAGAACTAGGGAGGGGGAGGCAGGACTGGAGAAAGCGAAGGTGGAGCCTGTCCTATGAATCATTAGGATCTGACCCCACAGGACCTTTCTGAGTCTGAGAGGTCCTGGGGAGGGAAGTGGGGGGCAGGTCACAGCCAGCAGAGCCCCCAGTCTGACCCCCGTGGACATCTTAGGCTGGATGTGGATCTCCGTTAACATTAGCGCTGGGAGAGCCAGGAGTTACAGCCCAGAGATGAGTTTCCAGGGAGCTTAACTATGGAGAGTAGATGCCAAAGATTGCCAGAGATAGCCATGGTTCGATGTAGAGTGGAACGCTTCATGGGATGATGCATGGTCCACTGTCACTGCAGCTCTGCAGAGGGGAGTGGCTGAGCCGTAGAAACAGGACGAAAGCCATCAAAGGACTTTCTCTACTAGAGATGGAGGCATGCATGGAGCGTGGGGAAGGACTGCTTTGTGAGCCATGAGCTCAGATCTAGTCTCTCTCTTTCTCTCTCTCTCTCTCTCTCTCATTACAATATGATCTTCCTACAGCAAGTTTCTTTCTTCTTTTTTTTCTTTTTTCTTTTTGGTCAGTCGTGAGCCAAGAACTCTAAGGCTGCTGTCCCTCAGCTCTAGGCAAGCGTTGTACCACTTAAGCCACAGCATCACTTCTGGTTTTCTGGCGGTTAACTGGAGATAAGAGCCTCACAGACTTTCCTGCCTGCTGGCTTTGAACTGGGATCCTCAGATCTCAGCCTCCTGAGTGGCTAGGATTACAGGCATGAGCTACTGATGCCCGGCTATGAACTCCTCTTATATGAACCTGATTCTTCTTATTTTTTTTTTTTTTGGGTCCGGTCGTGGGGTCTGAACTCTGGGCCTGGGCGCTGTCCCTCAGCTCTTCAGCTCAAGGCTAGCACTCTACCACTTGAGCCACAGCACCACTTCCGGCTTTTTTCTTTTTGCTTATGTGGTGCTGAGGAATCGAACCCAGGGCCTCAGGCATGCAAGGCAAGCACTCTACCACTGAGACACCTTCCCAGCCCTGATTCTTCTTATTTCTTACTTTTAAAAAGAAAAAATAAATGCCTGGCTCTGGTGGCTCATGCTTGTAATTCTAGCTACTGAGGAGGCTGAGATCTGAGGATCCCAGTTTAAAGCCAGCCCCGGCAGGAAAGTCCATGAGACTTTTTTTTTTTCCTGGTCAGTCCTGGGCCTGAACTCTGGGCCTGGGCACTGTCCCTCAGCTCTTCAGCTCAAGGCTACAGCTCTACCACTTGAGCCACAGTGCCACTTCTTACTTTTTCTGCTTATGTGGTGCTGAGGAATCAAACGCAGGACCTCATGCATGCAAGGCAAGCACTCAACCACTGAGCCACCTTCCCAGCCCCAGTCTGTGAGACTCTTACCTCCAATAAACCACCAGAAAACCGGAAGTGGCACTGTGGTTCACGTGGTAGAGAGTTAGCCTTAAGTTAAAGAGCTTAGGGACAGTACCCAGGCCCAGAGTTCAAGCCCCACAACTGACCCCTCCTCCCCTGCCCCCCCCAAAATATATATATGCATAATTGTTTTGTTTCTTTTAACCAAACCAGGGGTTGAACTCAGGGCCTTGTGCGCAGTTATTTAGTGTATATGTAAGGTCCCATCTGCACAAAGTGTGGCTTCATTGAAGCCTTATGACCTCATAGGCTTCCACCTACACTTGCTGTAGATCCTTCGCGAGCCTCCAGATTGTTAGCAGCTGTGGTAAAAATGCTACTCAGGAACAATTAGTTGCATTTGGTTTTGGTCCTGAGGGAAGCCAGGCTCTCACGTATGCTAAGCCCATATTCTACAGTGAGCTGCAGCCCTTCCTCCCAAAATACTGAAGGAAACTTGGTTTGTTTCCCTTCCTTTCTGGCTCCCTGTCCTTCCGAGCATTTTTCGCGGCACCAGAGTGCTGAGCGTATTGTGCAAGGTGGGGAATCTTGACACTCCCTTGCAATGGTGTGACAACGCACCAACTACACACCTTCTGCGTCACCCTTCTTCGTGTGTAACATGAAGATTTGTGCATTTTCATCCTGTCCTAGAGGAAAGGATACATCTAAACCGCTTTGGTGAACCAACTTTCTTTAAAATCAGAGGTATTACTTCCAATTCCCTCCCACACACTCCAATATCTACAAAGAATGGGTCTTATATTTCCTATAGCATGCTTGGCCAGGCATGGTAACACACACCTATAATCCCAACACTTGAGAGACTGAGACAGGAGGATCATGAGTATGAGAGCAGCCTGGGACTTGAATGGTTCAGTCATGAAGCCAGACACCAAAAGAGTCAATAAGGCTTACCAAGGTTTTAAGTGCTTTCTTCTTTGTCCTCACCAGGATCAAGATGACCACAGCCACAACTTTGGGAGATGCTGTCTTCTCCTTGAACATGACCACCAGGGGAGAAGACTTCCTGTATAAGAGTATGTCAGTGTGGCCAGGGCACTGGGGGTGGGTGGACAGGTCAGTGCCATGTCAGCTGCTGCTGTGCAGAGGCCAAGAACATAGAGCACTGGGTTTGATTCGAATTCTGCCACTGGCCAACTGCATGACCTTGAATTGAATGCAAGGCTTCTTTGCTTTGAGCTTGTGAGATGGGTTTTAAGGATGCTGCCACCCAAGGGACTGTGGGAACCCAAGAAACCCAGGGGAAGTGCGGAGATGGACACTAGCTCACACTAAGCACCGACAAGCATTATTATTGCTGCTTCTGCAGCTGCTGCTGCTATTACTGTTGTTTTCATTACAGCATCTGGGCATCTAAAAGAAATGGAAATCTGAATCTCTCTCTTTTTATTTTATTTTATTATTTTTTGCCAGTCCTGGGCACTATCCCTGTGTTCTTTTGCTCAAACCTAGTGCTTTACCACTTTGGGCCACAGCTCTCTCTACTTCCAGTTTTTAGGTGGTTAATTGGAGATAAGAGTCTCACAACTCTTCCTACCCAGCTGGCTTTAAACTGTGATCCTCAGAACTCAGCCTCCTCAGTGGCAAGGTTTGTAAGTGTGAGCCACCAGTGCCCCGCCTGACTCTCACTCTCTCTCTTTTTGTTTTATTTTTTGGTCAGTCATGGGGTTTGAACTCTGAGCCTGAGCGCTGTCCCTCAGCTCCTCAGCTCAAGGCAAGAGATCTACCACTTGAGCCACGACGCCATTTCCAGTTTTCTGAGTGGTTTGTTGGAGATAAGAGTCTCATGGACTCGGGGCTGGGAATATGGCTCAGTTGTGGAGCGCTTACCTTGCATGCATGAGGTCCTGGGTTTGATTCCTCAGCACCACATAAACATTGTGGCTCAAGTGGTAGAGCACTAGCTGAGGGACAGCACCCAGGCCCAGAGTTCAGGCACCAGGACCAAAAAAAAAAGGTCTCATGGATTTTTCTGCCAGGGCTGGCTTTGAACTGGGATCCTCAGATCTCAGCCTCCTGGCTTGCCTTGCTAGGTTTTTCTTTTTTCTTTTTTTTTTGCCAGTTCTAGGGCTTGAACTCAGGGCCTAGGCACTGTCCCCAAGCTTTTGCTTAAGGCTAGCACTCTACCACTTGAGCCATAGCACCACTTCTGCCTTTTACTGTGTATGTGGTACTGAGGAATCAAACCCAGGTCTTCATGCATGCTAGGCAAGCGCTCTACCACTAAGCCACATCCCCACTCCCTACCTTGCTAGTTTTTAAGAGTAAAACACTGAAAACAACAAGAACATCATCAACAGGAAGTTGGTGAATAGATTATAGTGCATCCAAGCAATGACAATACTGTGTGGCCGTCCAAAGTCATGAAGAAAAGTCGGCTCACACCTGTAATCCTTGCTACTCAGGAGACTCAGATCTGAGGATAGAGGCTAAAAGACAGCCTAGGCAGGAACGTTTGTGACACTCTTATCTCTAATTAACCCCCCCCCAAAAAAAAAGGTGAAAGTGGAGCTGTGGCTCAAGTAGAAGAGCACTAGCCTTGGGCTAAAAAGCTAATGGATAGTGCTTAGGCCTTGAGTTCAAGCCCCAGTCAGTACTAGCACGAGAAAAAGATGAACTCTTCAGCCCTTGAGAGCAACCACCCCCCCTCCCTCTGTCCTACTTTCTCTACTTAGTCCCACGCTCCAGGCCTCACCCTCTCCCAGGGAGAGTCCATCAGTAGACCAGTAGATTGATCCATTGATCAGGGCAGTCACCTCTCAAGGATCAGATCCACCAGTGAAAGACCAAGTTTTCATGCAGTTTTTTTTTTTTTTTTGGCGGCTGTGGGGCTTGAACTCTGGGCCTGGGCGCTGTCCCTCAGCTCTTCAGCTCAAGGCGAGCGCTCTACCACTTGAGCTACAGCGCCACTTCCGGTTTT